GAGAGAGAGAGAGAGAGAGAGAGAGAGAGAGAGAGAGCGAGAGAGCGAGCGAGCGAGAGAGCGAGAGCGAGAGAGCGCAAGAGCGCGAGGCCCGTCGCCTCTGTAGTTGAGGCGCGCGCCGGTGGCGTCCGGGTGCACACGCAGGTGCACGGGCGCGGAGCCGTCGCAAGGCGGCTTGTCGCACTCGAGCTGGAAGAGCGAGGCGTGCGAGGCCGGCTGACCGTCCACGCTGAACGTCCACTGGAGAGGGTGCGGCGGCGGGACCAGCCGCAGAAAGGCACCGCTGAGCACGTGCCGCAGCTGGACCCAGCCACCGCGCGACCACGAGCCCTCCACCTCGATCAGGCGCCACGCCGCCGCCTCGAGCGGCGCGGCGCCGGCCTCGGCGCTGGCGCTTGCTCCAACGAGCCCGCGCTCGCCCGGCACGAGCAGCTTGCCGTTGGACATGCGGAAGAGGGCATACACGATCCCGCAACCGGTCGGGCTGGCAAGGGTGCAGCCGGTGCCGCGCAGCCGCGCAGGGTCCTCGCGGGAGCAGAGGCGGCGATGTCGGCGCGGCATTGAAGAGAAAGAATAAAAACCGCCGCCTCTCACATCAGACTGGCACGAACTAGCACCACAAAAGGCACAGCGAGGGACGGGAAGGCGGCGGCGGCGTCGCAGAACGAGGCAGAGGAGAGCGACGCGACAGACGAACAAGCGACCAGGGAGAGCACGACGAGAGTGGGACGACCGCGAGGTGGCACGAAGGTTAACCGAGAATCGGCGAGAGACTGCGAAGAGAGATATCGGTCGGCCCAGACCAGACCGATGGCGATCACCGATGGCGATCACGTGCCTGCTTCTGCTGGCCAAGCTCACGGCTGTCGCTCGAGCCATCGCTGGCTACGCCCCTGGCTCGGATGATGGTGCGGTCGTCTCTAGCCGCCAGAAGGGAGGCGGCGGCCAGCAGGCGACAGAGGCGGCGCTCTCGTGCCACGCTGAGTGCCCGGCGCTCGGCGAGACTGTCCTGCTCGATGACAATCGGCATATGAGCAACTCGAACACGGCGTGCAATTGCGACTACTTTGGCTGCTCACCGATTGAGCGCGCGCCTGACCTCGACAGCGCCGGCTGGTACCGCTTCGGCGGCGACGATGGCGCGACGCAGATGGCGACGTGCTTTGTGCAGGGTGGTAGCACGGGCGGTGCCAGCTGCGGCACCACCGGCTGCACCGGCTTCCTCGCCACCCCGCACCCGGCGGCAGGCGACGCGCCGGCAGCCGCACAAGTGTGCTTCAACTGTGGCGACTCGTCAGGGTGCGACTTCTTCGTCGATGCCAACGTGTGCGCGTGCGATTACGGCAACGGCGGCGGCACGACGTACACCTATCAGCTCACGAAGCCGGCGGGCGGCTCTGGCAAGCGCCGCTACTGCGGCTCCGGCGGCGAGGTCTGCCCTCCGCCGCCGTCGCCGCCGCCTGTCTTGCCCGAGGCGCCTTCGCCAGCGCCGCCAGCGCTGCCGCCACAAGAGCCTCCCATGCCACCATCGCCTTCCCTGCCGTCACCACTGCCGCCACCGCCTTCGCCGCCACCGCCTTCGCCGCCACCGCCATCGCTTTCACCACCACCACATGGATCAGTACCATCGTGCCCTGCGACCTGCTTCGGCCAGACCTGCGACGACTGGGTAAGCGCTTCTCCCACGCCATGCGCGCCCGCCGGCGCAGAGCTGCTCAGCGCCTCTCCCACGCCGTACGCGCCCGCCGGCGCAGAGCCACCACAACACGGTCCACTTACATGCGTACCGCGCGCCCGTCCTCGCAGATTTCCGCTGAACCGACCAAGATCTGCGCCGAGCTCGAGGAGTTCGGCTGCGACTGCTTCGGATGCACGTTGTGCGGTGGTGGTGGCGTTGATGCGCCGCCCCCGAGCATCCCATCTCCGTCTCTGCCAACCACCGGCATCACGTATCCTCCGCCTCCACCGACCACCGGCGTGCTCCCCAAGATCCTCTGCCTCCACGGCGGCGGTGGCGATGGCGCTGACTTTGCGGGCGAGATTACGGCCATGCGTAACACACTGAGCAACGAATTCGAGTTCGTCTTTCCGACGGCGCCCGACCCGCCGGGCGAGGGCGGCCTCTGGATGATGGACCCACCGGGCAAGGACAACCCGACCACCGACCCCGACTGGGCGCAGGCCGCCGTCGCCCACCTCAACCAGATCGTCACCACGCAGGGCCCCTTCCACGGCATCATGGGCTACTCACAGGGCGCCGCCTTCCTACCCGTCTACCTGGCTCTGACCCCGGTCAACACCTTCCAGTTCGCCGCGATGTTCTGCGGCTACCTTCCGGAGACGCACCTCGGGCTGATCGGCCGCATTGATGCCCAGAGCCCGTTCGGTGGCATCCCGTCGCTGCACTTCATCGGCCTCCAAGACGGCATCATCGGAGATACCATGTCACGTGGATTGGCGGCTAAGTTCACCTCGCCGCTGATCGTCGAGAGCGGCACCGCTGGCCATCATCCGCCGCTCACCTCCA